TCATTGTCTCTATGTTGACAATATTCCCAAGAGTAAGCTCAAATAATTTTTGTTTTGTTTTAAAACAAAAACTTCTGAAAATGAGACCTTACTAACATCTTTCTGAAACTGTTATTATTATTATTAAGATTTATTTATTTTTATTGGAAAGTCAGATATACAGAGAGGAGGAGAGACAGAGAGGAAGATCTTCCATCCAATGATTCACTTCCCAAGTGACCACAATGGCCGGTGCTGCACCGATCTGAAGCCAGGACCCAGGAACCTCTTCCAGGTGTCCCACATGGGTGCAGGATCCCAAGACTTTGGCCCATCCTCGACTGCTTTCCCAGGCCACAAGCAGGGAGCTGGATGGGAAGTGGAGCTGCCAGGATTAGAACCGGTGCTCATACGGGATCCTGGTGTGTACAAGGCGAGGACTTTAGCCACTAGGCCACCATGTCAGACCCTAAAACGGTTTTTTTTAAAGGTTTATTTTGTTTTGTTTGAAAAGCAGAGTTACAGAGAGAAGGGAAGAGAGATTTCATCTATTGCTGACTCACTCTCCAAATAACTGCAGTGACCAGGACTGGACCAGGCTAAAGCCAGGAGCCAGGAACTCCATATTGGTCTCCCAAATGAATGGCAGGAGCCTAAGTATTACCTCTCGAGGCATGTTAGCAGAAACTGGATCAGAAGCAGAGCAGTCAGGATTCAAACTGACAGACATGGGGTGCCAGCATCATAGGTAGTATCTTTAACCACTATACTATAGCGCTGGTCCTTAAAACAAGAAACCTTTTGGGCTGGCATGATGGCGTATCAGGCTAATCCTCTGCCTGAAGTGCTGGCATCCCCCATGGGTGCCAGTTTGTGTCCTATCTACTCCACTTCCAATCTAGCTGCCTGCTTATGACCTGGGAAAGCATGGAGGGATGGCCCAGGTTCTTGGCCTGTACACACAAGGGAAGCCTGGAGGGGATTTTCGGTTCCTGGATTCAGATTGGCCCAGCTCTGGCCTTTGTAGCCATTTGGGGAGTAAACCAGCAGATGGAAGATCTCTCTCATCTCCCTCCTCTTTCCTCTGTAAATCTGCCCTTCAAATAAAAACAAAAACTTGTCACATAACCATTTGGTTTGATTATAAGACTGAATTTGCAAGTTATGAATGGATTTTTTTGCCCTTGTATATAACTCACTGTGATTAAAAACTGTAGTGTAATTTACATGTAATTATTTTATTATACCAATAATTAATGTATATCCAAATAAATGCACAGATGCTAAGTATTCCATTCAATGAGCTGTGACAGTTGTGTCAGCGTGTAGTCGTGGTGCCCTACGAGTCACTCTGGAATGTTTCCCTGGGCCCTTGCTGGTCAGTTTCTTCACCACCACAGGTCCTCCACCTTCTGACTGCCTCTCTGTTCATGTCTGCTTCAAGAAATAGAATCTTACCATATGGATTTGTTTATTTTTTTAGGATTTATTTATCTCTCTTATTTGAAAGGTAGATTTTTACAGTGAGAGGAGATATTAAGAGTGCAGGCACCCAGCTAACTCAACCCATGGCCATATGCCCATGCCAATAGCTAATTCGCTTGTATTGTTTTACAATATTCTGTTGTATAATGGTACCATAATGGATTTATTCATGATGAACATTTGAGTTTGTATATTGATATATATTGACTTATTTATTTGAAAGTCAGTATGATAGAGAAAGTTAGTCCATCTACTAGTTCACTCACCAAATAGCTGCAGCAGCCAGGGCAAAACACCATCCAGATACCGCTCACGAGGGGCAGGGTTCCAGGCATCTACACCGTCTGCTGCTTTCCCAGCACATTAGCAGGAAGCTAAAGTCAGAAGTGAAGTAGTTGGGACTTGAACTACCTCAGCCCCATGCACCTAAAACTAGTTCCTAATAAGGTATTTTAATGAACAGAAATTCTTTTACATGTTGAAATCCAGTTTATTGGGGAATTAGGTTGTTTTTCTTGTGTGTGTTTTTGTTTGTTTGTTTTTGTTTGATCCAAGAAATCTTTACTTACTCCATGGCCTCAGAACTATTGTTTATGGTTCTGGCTTTTACATTTAGGCCTTTGATGCATCTCAAACTGATTTCTATACATACAGTATTAAACAGTTGTCCAGGTTCCAAGGTTGCCATATGGATATTCAGTTATTACAGAACCAATTCCTAAATTGAAATGGAAACTCCTTGGATTTGAGTGTCCACAAGTACATAAATTAACCAACAACTGCTTCCCTGCAAAATGTAATTATATCCCGGTGATAATTTCTACTGAAATGTAAAAGTTTATTGGCAAATAATTTTAAATGTTAAATTATCATTCATTGTTAACATTAAAATATTTTAAATATATTTTTTAAATTCCTGGGGTTGGCATTGTGGCATCAGGTTAAGTTATTGCTTGTTATTTCCGTGTCTCATGATACAGTCCTGCATGCTCCTGGGAGAGCAATGGGTAATGCCATCCATGGGGCAGATCCAGGTGGAGCTCCTGGCTTTAGCCTTGCCCATCCCTGGCTGTTGCAGGCATTTGTGGAGAGAGACAATGATGAAAGATCTCTCTGCCTTTTAGATAAATAAAGTCTTTTAAAAACTGAGCCAATCCGAAACCAGGATCCAGTTGGTTCTTTGAGGTCTGCCACATGGGTGCGTGATTTTAAGGCTTTGGGCCATCTTCCACTGTTTCCCAAGCCATAAATAGGAAGCTGGGGGAAGTGAAGTAGCTGGGGCATGAATCAGTACCCAATTGGGATCCCAGCACATATAAAGTGAGAGTTTAGCCGCTAGGCTGCTGTGCTGAGCCCAAATAAATCTTTTTTTAAAAAGATAATGTTAACATGTAACTTTACATCCAAAAATGAATAAATAATCATTATACGAAATACATTAAAAAGAGAGACTGAGGTTAGTGGGCAAGAGTAAGTACAGAAAAGTAGAATGGTCAGTTCTTACTGAGTTGTGTGCCCCTGGTTTGTTTGAATTGCTTTTCAAGGGCCTGAGAACCAGCAGGTGACCATGCTGTATTCCGTAAGCTCTAAGGTAATTGTAAGGTGTTGTGGAGCAGGGGAAAATGCCAGATGATACACTGTGCAACATTTCTAAAATCAGCTTATCTTACTTGTTTGAAAGAGAGAGAAAGAGAGATGTGTCTGCAGTTTTACTCCCTGAACACCTGCAGCAGTCAGGGGTAGGCCAGGCAGAAAGGCCAGCAGCTGGGGTCAGGTACTTGAACCTACTGTCTCTCAGTTGTGCGTTAGTAGGATGCTGTGGCCAGGAGCAGGGACCTGAACCTAAACATTAGAATAATGATACAGGTGTCATCAGCAACATCTTTTTTATAATTTGGTTATTTTTATCTGAAATGCAGATTTTTACAGAAAGGAGAGAGAGAAGGATCTTTTATCAACTGATTCACTCCCCAAATGGCTGTAATGGCCAGAGCTGGGCCAATCCAAAGCTGGAACCTAGAACTTCTTCTGGCTCTCACGTGGATGCAGGGCATCAAGGACTTGGACCACCGCTTCTCTGCTTTCGCAGTCACATTAGCAGGATGCTAGACCAAAATTGGAGCAGCTGAAAGTTCAACCAGCACCCATATGGGATCCGGTATCACAGGCAAAAGCTTAACTTACTATGCCACAGCATTGGCTCACAAGCAAGATTTTTTTTTAAGTTTATTTATCTTTATTGTAACGGCAGGTTTACAGAGAGAAGGAGACACACAGTAAGATCTTCCATCTGGTGGTTCACTCCCTAGATAGCCACAATAGCCAGAGCTGAGCCATTCTGATGCCAGGAGCTGCTTCTTCTGGGTCTCCCATGTAGGTGCAGGATCCCAAAGCTTTGAGCTATCCTCTGCTGCTTTCCCAGGCCACAGGGAGGGAGCTGAATGAGAAGTGGAGCCGTCAGGACCTGAATCGGTACTCATATGTAATCCTGGCACTTTGCGAGCAGAATGTTAGCAAATTGAGGCACTGCACCAAGCCTCACAAGCAGCATTATTAACAGCTGGGAAAAAACTCTCTGCTCCTGTACATTTTTATTCCAGTTTTTAGAAGGTGAGTAAAAATACACTAGCAGTGTTTGCGCCCTGATGCTAATAATTAGAAAACAGTAGAACATTTTGTCAAACAAATGATCCTTGAGCCCTTAAAAAATTGGTAAACATTGAGAAGAATATGGGTTTATAAAGGACATGATCTCACAAATATTTATTAAGATATAAATCTATTCTAAGTGCTAAAAACTATAAATATTTTGTTGTTGGCCTTGAGGAAGATAATGGTTATTTCTGGCTCTGTGTGTTAACAGTATGCCTTTGTTTTTGCCTAAGCTTGCTTACTTTTTCTTTCTTTCTTTCTTTTCTTTTTTTTTTTCCTTTGAGAGAGAGAGAGTGAGAGAGGTCCAGACCAGACAGAGAGATCATTCATCCCCTGATTCACTCAGCAAATGCCTGTGGAAACAAGCTGGGAATGGGCCAGGCCAAAGCCAGGAGGCCAAAACTTCATCTAGGTCGTTCATGTGGGTGACAGGACACAGCTATTTGAATAATCAGACTGCTGCCTCCATTGTGCACACTGGCAGGAGGCTAGGATCACAAGCAGGCCTGGTACTGCAGTCCAAGCATGTGGGCTGCATGTGCCCAAGTTCTGCCTTAAATACTACGCCAAACACCTACCCCATATTCAGCATGTTTTTAGTATGTATTTTTTAAGTTGGTTGTTCCAGAAAAGTGTCAAATATAGATGCCATTTATTCAGTTGTGAGTTGTGCATTTTTCAAATATTTATTTATTTACTTACTTACTTTTTATTGCAAAGTCAAATACACATAGTAGAGGAAGAAACATGGAGGAAGTTCTGTCCAATGATTCACTCCCCAGGTAGCCAAAATGGCCTTGAGCTAAGCTGATCCGAAGCCAGGAGCTTCTTCCGGGCCTCCCACCTGGGAGCAGGTTCCCAATTGCTTGGCAGTCCTCAATTGCTTTCCCAGGCCACAAGCAGGGAGCTGGATGGGAAGCAGGACAACCATGATCAGAACCGGCGCACGTATGGGATCCTGACATATGCAAGGTGAGGACTTTAGCCACCAGCCTACTGCACTGGGTCCGAGTTGTACATTTTTTTTAGAAGATTTATTTTTATTATTTTTTCATTGGAAAGGTGGATATACAGAGAGGAGAGACAGAGAGGAACATCTTCCGTCCGATGATTCACTCCCCAAGTGAGCACAACGGGCCGATGCTATGCCAGTCCGAAGCCAGGAGCCTCTTCCGGGTCTCCCACGCAGGTGTAGGGTCCCAAAGCTTTGGGCTGTCCTCGACTGCCTTCCCGGGCCACAGGCAGGGAGCTGGAAGGGAAGCAAGGCTGCCGGGATTAGAACCGGCGCCCATATGGGATCCCGGGTGTGCAAGGCGAGGACCTTTAACCACTTGCACCACCGCGCCGGGCCCGAGTTGTACATTTTTTAAAAAAGATTTATTTATTCATTTATCTATCTATCTATTTATTTATTTATTTACTTTTATTGCAAAGTCAGATATACAGAGAGGAGAAGAAACAGAGGAAGATCTTCTATCCAATGATTCATTCCCCAAGTGACTACAATGGCTGGTGCTACGCTGATGTGAAGCCAGGAGCCAGGAACCTCCTCCAGGTCTCCCACGCAGGTGCAAGATCCCAAGGCTTTGGGCTGTCCTCAACTGCTTTCCCAGGCCACAAGCAGGGAGCTGGATGGGAAGTGGAGCTGCTGGGATTAGAACCAGTGCCCATATGGGATCCTGGCGTGTACAAGGCAAGGACTTTAGCTGCTAGGCCACAGCACCAGGTCCCCAAGTTGAACATTTTTAAGAAATGATTTATTTATTCAGAAAGTAAAGTGACAGAGAAAGATTCCCACAGTAGTTACCCTATGTCAGACCAAGACCAAAAATTTGAAACTCAAGTATTCTGTGTGAGTGGCAGGGACTTGAGTACTTGGTATGTCTTCTGCTGCCTTCTTAAGGACGTTATCAGGAAACTGAATTGTAAGTGGAATAATCAGGACTTGACATGACATTCCAACATGGCACGTATGTGTCCCAAGTAGCAACTTAATCCACCATGCCATGACACTCACACCAAGTTGTGCATGTTATGTAGCCTGTCATCCTGTTGGGCAAGGGCAAGTAGGAACCAGGAAAGCTCTGTGAAACTGCAGTTACTTGAAATATTTAGTTCAGAAAATTTTGATGAGGGCCTATTTCCTCATCTAGAACATGAAGGTAATGTTACCTGCTTCAGAACTTTATAATAATTTAGAATTACACCTATAAAGCACTTGACATACAATGTATATTCAAAAATATGTGTATTAACTGTTAAAAAAAAAAAAAAAAACAAGGAAAATCCTGGGGCAGGAATTGTGATGTAGTAATGGTAAACTATTACCTGCAATGGTGATTTCCCAGATGATTGACAGTTCAAGCCCAGCTGTTCAATACTCTGAATCCAGCTCCCTGCTAATGCATCTGGAAAAGCAAGAGGGCAGCCCAATTGCTTGGATCTCTGACCCCCAGGTAGGAGACCTGCGTGAAGAATCTGGCTCCTGGCTGTGGCCTGACCCAGCCTGGTCATTGCAGCCATTTGCGGAATGAATTAGCAAATGAAAGATCTTTTTCTGTCTCTTTGCAACTCTGTCTTCCAAATAAATCATTAACTATAGATAAATAAATAAATGAAATACAAATCCCGACAATATGCCTGGAGATCTCTTTACAAAATCCCAGTATTGGGCCTGGCGCGGTGGCGCAGTGGTTAAGTCCTCACCTTGCACGCCAGGACCCTAGCTTTGGGACCCTGTACCTGTGTGGGATACCTGGAAGAGGCTCCTGGCTTCGGACTGGCATAGCGTCAGCCATTGCACTCACTTGGGGAGTGAATCATCGGACGGAAGATCTTCCTCTCTGTCTCTCCTCTCTGTATATCCGCCTTTCCAATAAAAATAAAATTAAAAATCAAAAAATATATATATAATTTTATTTTTTTAATAATATTTACATAGTTGATTATGGTGGGAAAGGTCAAGGATTAGGGGAAAATGGGTGAGACCATTGTTTCCACACCTTCCTCCTCTTCTCCCTGTGTGTGAGGGAAGAAGGAAGACAAGGGAAGAAGCCACACCAAAGCTGCCCAACCACCTCAGTACCTGGAAATGTTGAAGAGCCACCTGATGTCATTCCAGAGTCCCACTGTAGAGCATATTCTGAGGGTTCTGCTGAAGTGATTTTGATACTTCAAACATGCTGTCAATCTCGCAGATCCAGGAATGAGGAAATTCTGCCAAGGTCTGTTGATTGACATAGTCCACCTTAGAGTCTCCATTTACCCAGAAATTTGCTGTTGAGCTTCGCTGGGGTAGTTGACCAAATTGTTCTTCTGCCCTCCTTCCTGTCATTGTACCAGATGTCTTCTGCAGGCTCCAGTGGGCTGCCAAATCCTCCCCGTGCATCTGGGTATGCACTCGACTGCTCTATCTTACAGCTACTCTGCTTCTTATCCATCTCCCTTATGACTTAGGAAGGCAGCAGAAGGTGGCACAAGTGCTTCGGCCCCTGGCATCCATGTGGGACTCTGAGTTGAGTTCCTGGCTTCTGGCTTTGTCCTGGCCCATCCCCAGCCATTATGGCCAGCTGGCAATCAAACTAACAGATGGAAGATAATTCTCTGTCACTGTGCTTTTCCAATAAACAAATTTTTAATGAAGGGATTATTTATACTGGAGTGAGCAGTAAAGATAATCTAAAAGGGATGGTGAATCACCTAGGGACTGATGACAACAGCTGGTAGTGTAACCACTCCTAGCATAGTGGGGGAAGGGCAGGCCTTACTGGACTTAACAGCTATGGCTGTGGGACAGGGTTCCTTGATAAGAGATATGCCCGTGGTAAAGGAACATGCTTCTATCAGAACCACATCCTGGCAGAGAGAGAGAGAGCAAAGAGTAACCTTCTTCCGGCACTCAGATCTCTTCCTGTGCCTTTCTGTTTGAATCCAGAGGAAAGCCAGATGGCTGCAGTCCAGGCCCCCAGGGATTGATTTGTTGACTCCTGAGACATAGAGCAGGTCATAGAAGCAGGCAGGGAAGATGGTACAGACATGAGGACTGAGCCCACACACCTGTCTAAGTCCCGATCCCCTAGATTAGCACATGGTGCTATGAGCTCTGGCTCCTACAAGCCTTTGCAGCTTATCACCCTCTAAGTTAGGGCCCAACATCTCTTTTTATGTCCTATAGCCACTTGTTTATTTTTTTCTAATTTTTTTTTTTTAAAGATTTTATTTTTATTATTTTTTCATTGGAAAGGCGGATGTACAGAGAGAGGAGAGAGAGAGGAAGATCTTCCGTCCGATGATTCACTCCCCAAGTGAGCGCAACGGGCCGATACTATGCCGATCCGAAGCCAGGAGCCTCTTCCGGGTCTCCCGCACGGGTGCAGGTTCCCAAAGCTTTGGGCCGTCCTCCACTGCCTTCCCAGGCCACAAGCAGGGAGCTGGAAGGGAAGCGGGGCTGCCGGGATTAGAACCGGCGCCCATATGGGATCCCGGGGTTGCAAGGCGAGGACTTAACCACTTGCGCCACCGCGCCGGGCCCTCCTATAGCCACTTGTTAGGACCTCATTAAAGGCTGACATCTGAACAAGTCAATGTTGGGTTAGTGTAGGACCTGAGACAAGCGGTTTTAACAAACCAGAATGCAAGAGGAACTTTCCTGACTCACGTTTGTCACCAAGAGTGAAGGAAAAGCTGCTTCTACATGCACGTGTTCAAAATGATTGCTTTTATAGAGGCTCAAAGAAATGGAGTAACCTGCTCTAGGTTTCTTTCTCTCTCTTAAATATGTATTTATTTTTATTGGAAAGGCAGATCTGCAGAGAGTAGGAGAGACAGAAAAAACTTGTTTGCTGATTCACTCCCCAACTGGTTGCAATGGCCAAAGCTGAGCCAATCCAAAGCTAGGAACCTCTTCTAGGTCTCCCATGTGGGTTCAAGATCCCAAGGCTTTGAACCATCCTCTACTGCTTTCCTAGGCTACAAGCAGGAAGCTGGCTGGGAAGTGGGGTAGCTGGGACATGAACCGAAACCTATCTGGGATCCCAGAACATTCAAAGCAAGGATGTAGCCACAGAGCCATCACCCTGGCCTCTTGCTCTAGGTTTCCTACTGGTTGTGGCAGGTCTTCATCACACACTATCTGTGGAACCCTGGAGAAGTCCTCAAGCGTGTCTAAACTCTCATTTTCTCATCTCTAATGCAGAGTTACATGGAGACAGTCTGAATGTTGCCTGGCCTGTTACATTCACTTTGTGATAGCGCAGAACAGTAGCCCAGTACTCTAGTCATGGATAATATGTTTCTTTAGTTATTCCATTTTAGATGCTTACTGTTAGTTTTCCTACTTACTTCTGGTATTTGGTAGTGTTTTTTGTGAGTTAAGTAACCTTCCTTAAAATTATTTTCAGTAAAATAGAGTATGAAGAAACACACTGGGGCCAGTGTCATTTTGGCAGGTAGAAGTGCTGCCTGCAATGTTGGCATCCAATATGGGCATGATTCATGTTCCATTTGCTCCACTTCTGAGCCAGCTCCTACCCATAGCCTGGGCAAATCAGTGAAAGACAGCCCAAGGATCTGGGCCCTTGCCAGCCGTGCTGAAGACCTTGATGAAGCTCTTGGCTCTTCGTTAAGCCAAACCTACCCCAACATCATTGTAGCCACTTGAATGAATGAGCAAGTAGAAGATCTCTTTCTCTCTCTCTTTCTCTCTCTCTCTGTAACTCTGCCTTTCAAATAAATAAATAAACCTGGGGGAAAAAAGGATGACCTAGTAGTGACTGACTATGTGCCAGGCCCTATAATTCCTGCTTTGCAGATACCAACTTGTTTATTTCTCAAGCCCTTTATGAAATAGGTACAACTATCGTCATTTTAATGAGGAAATAAGTGGAAGCCTAGAATGATAGAAACTTGCCTGAGGTCACCCAGCCAATAAGCAGCAGAGCTGGGATTTGAACCCTGAGCAAAGTAGTCCAAGATTCCACGTGGTTCTCACTTCTTTGTTATCTTCACAATAACTTGTGGCCTTGTCAAATCATGAGTATCCAGTCCTACCTAGCCTCTCCCACCCTTCACCTTGACTGTGGTGTGTGTAGTTTTTTAGAATGCCCATAACCTCGGCAGGCTGGGTCTGGGGAGTTCTTTATAGGCATAGGCGGGATGTATGCAAAGATGTTAAGGACAAAGAGTGTACAAAGGTTTCAGGGATGAGAAAAGGTGACCTCTGAAATAAACAAGGACATGCAGCTTGAGCAAGAAGTGTGGTGACTGAGCCTGCCTAGCTTCATGCCATCTGGCTGTCTCAGAAGCAGCTGATGCCCCTTTGTGAGTGTTGATGAAGCCACCCTCTGAGTCAGTGGCAGGGAAAAGGATGTTATGAACAATTCCTCTAATGATCCTGCTGTTTCATGCCTCTGGTGCTTAACTATACAAACACCCAGGTATAACTAGGTTGAGAAGGAATGCAAAGTGATTTAAGAGGAAATGTGTTCTGGGCATGAAGTTGGAGAGGCTAAGGAAATTCTTGCTTAGGGTGCCCATGTCTCAGGCCCCTGGCCTGCACAGCTGTTCATAGTGAGTGATACACAAAACTTCACAGGATCTCACTTCTCTAAAGGCGACAGATTTGAGACTGTCAAGTTCCCAGAATAGCTATGACCTGCACATTGCCCAAAAAAATCCTATGAAAGCAGGAAGTCCTAAAAATAGCTGTGAAGGGAGTCTAGGACATGAAAATTACAGAAGGTGCTGTGACTGACATGTGCTCTCACCAGAAAGGAATCCTGTAAGGGCAAGAGAATTAGCAACGAGGAGAAAGAAGGATAGAGCCTCATGTGTTTCAGGCTGACGGTGTTTTATGGACTGATATGGCCGTCAGAGGCCAGTGATCCTTATGAGTGAAGGCAGCCAGAGGACACTGGGCCGACAGGGAGGTCGTTTGTCATGGAGGGCCCAGAGGATACAGACAGGAATGCTTTAGCATTGTGAGGGGTGCCGTGCAGGGAGTTCCTCAGTGTGAGTGCTGAAGGTCTGGAGGGATTCCCAGTAACAAGGTTTCATTCAGCCAGGAAGCAGTGGTGTGAGTATTTGAACCCAGAAACTGCTGAGGCCTTCAGCAGAGCAGTGGCACGGTGGTTTTCTCTCTCACTCTCTCTCAGATTTATTTTATTTTTATTGAAATGTCAGATTTATAGAGAAAAGGAGAGACGGGAAAAGATCTTCTATCTGCTGGTTTACTCCCCAAATAACTGGAACAGCTAGTTAGAGCTGAGCTGATCTGAAGCCAGGAGCCAGGAGCTTCTTCCAGGTCTCTCACATAGGTGTAGGATCCTAAAGCTTTGGGCCATTTTCTACTGCCTTCCCAAGCCAAAAGCAGGGATCTGGATGGGAAGTAGAACAGTCAGGACATGAACTGGCATCCATATAGGATCCTGGTGCTTGTAAGAAGAGGATTAGCCAATTGAACCATCATAGCTGCCCAAGTGGCTGCTCTCTTTAACGTTCATACTCTGCTGCTTCTGTTCAGATTTGGTCTTGATGGTTTTCTGGAGCTGTAGAACAATAAAGCAGAGATCATCATGGGGAAGGCGAATCCTCATGGGAGAGTGAAGCCCCAGAGAGAGAGAGCTGGGCTTGTTGCATATCTAGACACTGGTTGGTGTGTGTGTGTGTTGGGGTGGAGACAGGGGTGGAGATTGCTCATGTAGAAGGAGGGAAGAAGACACCAGTGACAAACCTCAGCGTTGAAGGATCCAGAGCAAGAGCAGAGATGCCTGAGGGTCACATTCAGAAGTGGACAAAGAGAAAAGGATGCAGTATGTGGCATTTAAAAAATTATGTTGGGGCCCGGCGCGGTGGCGCAAGTGGTTAAGGTCCTCGCCTTGCATGCCCGGGATCCCATATGGGCGCTGGTTCTATCCCGGCAGCCCCGCTTCCCTTCCAGCTCCCTGCCTGTGGCCTGGGAAAGCAGTCGAGGACGGCCCAAAGCTTTGGGACCCTACACCCGCACGGGAGACCCGGAAGAGGCTCCTGGCTTCGGACTGGCATAGCATCAGCCGTTGCGCTCACTTAGGGAGTGAATCATCGGATGGAAGATCTTCCTCTCTGTCTCTCCTCTCTGTATATCCACCTTTCCAATAAAAAAAATAATAAAAATAAATCTTTAAAAAAATTATGTTGCAACCTTTTTTTCCTCTTTTTGTTGTTGTACCTTTTTGAAGATTGATCTGCTTATTTGAAAGGTAGAGAGGCAGAGAGGATGGGGTGGGTAGAGTGAGAGATCCTCCATCTACTTACTCCTTCTCAAAGTGCTTTCAACAACTAAAATTGAGCCAGTCTGAAGCCAGGAGTCAGGATTCAATTCAGGCATCCCTCATGGGCATCAGGGACTCCACAACGTGATCCATCATCTGCTTCTCCCAGCATGTACACTTTAGCAGGAAATAAGGATTGCAGAGGACCTGGCGCTGTAGCCTAGTGCCTTATGTCCTCTCCTTGCATGCACCAGGATACTCATTTGCATCGTGATTGCTCCAGTCCCTTCCAGCTCCCTGCTTGTAGCATGGGAAAGCAGTAGAGGATAGTGCAAAGCCTTGGGACCTTGTACCTGCAAGAGAGACCCGGAGAAAATTCCTGGCTCCTGACTTCCTATTGGTTCAGCTCCAGCTGTTGCAGCCACTTGGGGAGTGAACCAACAGATGGAAGATCTCCTTCTCTCTGTAGATCTGCTTTTCCAATAAAAATAAACAAATCTTAAAAAAAAAAAAAATGAACTGGAGGGCCCAGCAGCATGGCCTAGCGTCTGAACTCCTTGCCTTGAATGCGCTGAGATCCCATATGGGCACCGGTTCTAATCCTGGCAGCCCCACTTCCCATCCAGCTCCCTGCTTGTGGCCTGGGAAAGCAGTCAAGGACGGCCCAAAACCTTGGGACCCTACACATGTGTGGGAGACCTTGAGGAAGTTCCTGGCTCCTGGCTTCAGATCAGTGCAGCACCGGCCATTGTAGTCGCTTGGGGAGTGAATCAGCAGATGGAAGATCTTCCTCTCTATCTCTCTTCCTCTCTATATATCTGACTTTGAAATAAAAATAAATAAATATTTTTAAAATTAAATTAAGATTAATTTGTATGGAAATTAGGTGGTTTATGTTTCATTTTTTATCTTTTTCTCCTGGGCATACACTCATGGTTAGAACCAAGGGATTTTAAATGCAAGAGCTTTGCATATCATTCACTCCTTATTTTACTGTTGCAGTCCTCAGGGTTGAATGATTTGACCCAGGTTCCAGAACAAATGAAGTTGCGGAATAGGAATTTGAACTCAACTTTAGCCACTTCATGTTGTTCTTTCTTCCCTGAGCTCCAGTCTATGGATGCTGCTGCTCTCTCTCAGCTCTCCTGGAAGATGACTCCTCAGCATTTCATTTCTGAGCAGTTCATTTATGCTCTGTTTCGGTAGGGGAGAACTTGTTGCTTCCAGTAGTCCAACAGTGTAGCTTCGACCAAGTTTGCCCAGCATTGCTAACCTGTGTGGTTTGCTATTCCAGGAGCTCTGTGTGACCAGGCCTTTGGGACCTCAGATCTGCGCTGGAGGCTCTTGTGAGGAGATGAGGTGGTGAGCAGAGGCCGGCATGAAGATGCTGCCAGGAGTGGGAGTGTTTGGGACTGGCAGCTCTGCCCGGGTCCTGGTGCCCCTGCTGAGGGCAGAAGGCTTCACTGTGGAGGCTCTGTGGGGGAAGACCGAGGAGGAGGCCAAGCAGCTGGCAGAGGAGATGAACATTACCTTCTACACCAGCCGTACCGATGACGTTCTGCTGCATCAAGACGTGGACCTGGTGTGCATCAATATCCCGCCGCCACTCACTCGGCAGATCTCTGTGAAGGCACTAGGTACGGGATGTCCCCAAGGGTCAGTGCTTTCCTCTGGGTCCGGGTGTTCATCCTTGGGTCTGTGTCTGCAGCTGGAAGCTCTTTGGGGCATCCCTCACCCCTAGAGCAGGACTGGGGAATATTGTTCAGTCTCATAGCACAGCCTTCACTACCTGCTGGTAGTAAAAGCCTGGGTCAAAATTAAGGAAACATGCTTACAGGCTTCCAGTGGAGAGGCTGAATATTCTGTTTGGGTTGTGGATACACAGTTTACACATGTGAGGTCTGTGTTCAGGGTCAGTATTACCCAGGCCCTGGGAAGTTGGCTGTGGTTGATGCTTTTGTTCTCCCATGCTGTGGTACACAGCCCCACAGGAAGAACAGGGGCTGAGTACAAGGCCCGGGTTCCCTGTGTGTGTCCACACCCTTCCTGCTGTGCTGGGCACTCCTGGGAGGATCCAGGAGACAGCCTGTTCAGGTCTACACCCCTCAGGAAGCTGTGGGCTCAAGCAGCTCCTATCCCTGACTGGGCATGGCCTGGCGAGCTGTTCTGTACTTCCTGTCGAGCCTCTCCTTACTGACAACTATAGACACATTCTGCTCGTTAGCCAATAGAATCAGAATCTAATTTAGTGTGAATGTGAGCCAGTCAACAACCCTACAGCAGTTCCTTTCTAAGCCTCCTGGATGCCAGGCATTGTCCGGACAGCATCGTGGAATTAGGGAATGGGTGAGATCACAGCCCTCCATGGCTGCAGATTTAACAGTCCAGTAGAGGAGGGAGAAAGCCACACACAGTATGAATGACTGAAGACTTCAGTGGCAGCTCAAGTAGCATATAAATGACTGACAGTCGTTCTGTAAGTAAGATGACAGGAGCCAGGAGTATCTGTAGTTAGAGATGTCTTGGTCAAGAAATTGAACTACCATTCAACCATGGCAAAGGACCTGGTGTTCCATGGGGGCTGAAGAAGATGCCTGTCCCTGCTGGGCCAGTGGATTGTGAAGGGTAAATGTTCAGTAAAGCGAGCAAGAAGAGGAGTCTGTCTGGTCGTTAATTTGGAGCATGATGTAAATTCTGGACAAAGCTGTAGGTGATTGCTCCTGCCACATGTTCTGCAGATGTGAGACATTGGTGACCGTACACTGTTGGCAGGGTAGATGGGGTTCCTAGGTCGAATCTATTTGTTCATGTTGAAACATGTAATTTAATTTGAAAGAGTAAGGACAAAAGAGATAAGAATGGAGACTGGACTCAATCCCAGGCACTCTAATATGAGATGCAGACTGTCCCAAGCGGCAGTTTAACTCACTGTACCACAGTGCCTCCCTCTCAGGTTGAATTTAGAACTAAATGTAGAGTGTCAGTGTAAGGGGAATCACTGGACTCCTTTCTACTTGCTGTGCCATGAAGGGGAAGACTGGTGGTGCCAGCTGGGACCAGCTAAGCAGAGCAAGGCTGTCAGTTTTTTCTTTCTATAGATTTTTTGCTGCAGGTATGTGACCCCAGGACTAAGTTGACCAAACCTGTCTTCAGGCACTGCCCACTCAGGCCCCTACTGCAACCAGGAAGTTCATTCCCCATGTGCTTTTACTTTTCTAGTGGGAATTTGAACTTGACTTCAGTACTAGGAGAAGTCCTCCAGTTTTCTCCAGGCCTGGTTGTGAGTGCATGAACTGGTGTAAGCAGAGCACCAGACTGACCTTGACAGCACCAGACTGACCTTGACGTCGGCCCTGGTATAGTTTTTGTTCTGTCACTCTTAGCATCTATGAGCCCCTGTGGGGGAAAGAAAAAAAAGCAAGTACCAATTCCTGCCCCATTCAGCCTTTTCTGTGTGTAGATGACTGCCCTGCAAGTGCTGACTAGGAAGGTCACTGGGCTCACAATGCAAGGGCAGGCTTGGCTTTCCTGTTTTACCAAGAGGAAGAGCAGATTTGTCCGTTTATGTTTAAAAATGAATGAACTGGGATTCCCCTCTGGATCACTGGGTAAACATTCACTTAGTTGAGCACATAGCCTGGAAATGAACCTAAGCAGTCTGATGGAATAAGGTATTGTTCCTGTGTAGCCCAGCCTGCTGATGGAAGCCAGGGGGTCTAGCATGGACTTGCAGCCCAGCGGAAATGGGTCTTGGGCAGTAGGCAGAAGTGTGCATCTACTGGATTTTCAACTCAGCCTTTTAGTAGCAGAAGCTTTTTATTTGTTTATTTATTCTTGAATGTTTGTTTATTTATTTGAAAGGCGAAAGTTACTGAGAAAAAAGAGCTCTTGCAACTGCTGACCCACTCCTCAAAGGGCCACAGCAACCAGACCTGGGCCAATTGTGAGCCAGGAGCTTCCTCAGGGTCTCCCACGTGGGTACAGGGACCCAAGTATTCAAGTCATTCTCCTCTGTACTCCCACGTGCATTAGCAGGTAGCTGGACTGGAAGTTGAGCAGCTGGGATACAAATAGGTACTGATCTGGGATACTGGCACCTAAGGTGACCACTTTACCCACCATACCACGGTGCCAGTTCCAAACGCCATTTATTTAAAGAGAGAAGGAAATTGGACTCACTGACTTCTGTGAAACAGAGTGACACCCTTCCGGGGCTACTTTCTTTCCCTGAAGTTTGGAATCATTTATCCCGTGTCAGAGAACCAGGGTGTGCGTACGCCCAAAGCCATGAACCTGCTCCCTGGGGGTGTGTGAAGTAGGGAAAACTACTAAGAAGCCTGCAGCTAGTAATAAAGTTCTGAGTTTAGAAAGACTTTTTACATTTTTCATTTATTAGTTCTCTGAGAAGAAAACCAACACTGCCAACTCCAAAGAATATATACTCAGCTCATATACACCATATACTTGTGCTAAAACTGGCTTTTTGGTAAGAGAAGAAACACTTTCTAACAGATGTGTAAAAATAACAAAATGACAACGTGGAAGAGTTTTTTAAAAGGAGAGAGAAGAAGTAGCCTGCAGCAGCAGTTAGCTTCCCCAGGCCAGGTTCCAGGTTCAAGGGCGCGTCACTGCTGGGTGTTCTGGGAGCATGAACTGACAAGGGACTACAGCTTGAGTTTGTTCATCCTGCAGAAAACTGACCTGAGAAAGCACTTGGCAAGTTTGGCATTCACTTCCTGGAAGCAAAAACTAGTTTCAGCATCTGTAATCTGTCTCTGGACTTCCTTGTGGGAAAGCTACCGAAGCTCCCATAAACATAGCTCAAGGCCACCCCAGTCTCTCTCTCTAAGACCTTGTGCAGCTGGCCTGCGGAATCCTGTTTAACTCTTAGTAATTCCCACCCTGTGAGATAACTGGGCCTTCAGTTCGGAGGCTCTCTTCCACTGTAGGCTCAAGGAGAGACGTCTCTTCCTGTCCCCTCACCTCTCATGGGATACAATGGGGATTTCTCATCCTATTTTTTTTTTCATCATCAAACTTTCAGAAGTTAAAAATCTTTTTCAGGGGCCTAGCACGGTGGCCTAGCAGCTAAAATCCTCGCCTTGAATGAGCCGGGATCCCGTATGGGCACCGGCTCTAATCCTGGCAGCTCCACTTCCCATTCAACTCCCTGCTTGTGGCCTTGGGGAAAGCAGTCAAGGACAGCCCGAAGCCTTGGAACCCTGCACCTGCGTGGGAGACCCGGAGGAAATTCCTGGCTCCTGATCTGCGCAGTACCAGCCATTGGGGTCACTTGAGGAGTGAATCATCGGATGGAAGATCTTCCTCTCTGTCTCTATCTCTCTGTGTGTCTGACTTTACTATAAAAATAAATAAATCTTTAAAAACAATATTTTTCAGAGGCCCGGCAAGGTAGGATCCTCACCTTGCATGCGCTAGCATCCCATATGGGCGCTGGTTCATGTCCCAGCTGCTATACTTCCCATCCAGCTTCCTGATTGTGGCCTGGGAAAGCAGTAAATGAAGGCCCAAAGCCTTGGATCTTTGCACCTGCGTGGGAGACCTGGAAGAAGCTTCTGGCTCCTAGCTTTGGATCGGCACAGCTCTAGCAGTTGTAGCCGCTGGGGAGTGAATCTTCCTCTTTCTCTCTCTTTTTCTCTGTATATCTGCCTTTCCAATTAAAATTAAAAAAAAAAAAAAAAAACCTTAAAAAGAAAAGTCTTTTTCAGGGCAGGCAGTGTGGTATTTCAGGTTAAGCCCCTGCCTGTAACACTGAGATTCCATGGATATATTTCAAGTCCAAGTCCACTTCCAATCCAGCTTCCTGCTAATATGACTTGGAAAGCAACAGATGATGGCCCAAGTGTTTGGGCTCCTGCACCCACGTAGAAGACCTGAAACAAGTTCCTGGTGCCTCGTTTTGGCCTGTTCCAGCCCTGGTTCTTGTGGCCATTTGAGAGTGAACCAATGGGCAGAAGATTTCTCTTTCTCAGCCTCTCTCTCTAATTTTACTTTCAAGTATATAAGTAAAACTTGAAATAAGTTAAAAATAAAAGTTCTTTTCCTTCTACAATGTACTTCCAACCCGTAAATTAAGCAGCTTCTGAGCCAGTGTAGCTGCAGCTGTCAGATGGAGTGCTTATCTTAAAGAACCTGATTTCCTCATTTCCTCTCTAGACAGCCACATGAGTTAAGCAGTCACACACCAGAATTCTTTCCCCGTGTTGTGATTCTCCTGTCCTTAATCCTAAAGTCCCACACAACCAGGAAAGTACTGGGAACCTTCCAGAAGCGTAGGTGACAACATTGGAGCTGTTTTTCTCTCTGGGCACCTGTGCCAAGGCCTGGCCTTCCTCTCCTACCCTCACTGTTCCCTGCCCTGGGTGTGACATCTGGCTAGCCAGTGTCCTATCATCTTGCCCTTACTGTTGTCAATATTCTGTTGTTTTTTAGAGAAAAGCAGGAGGTTTAATTATGTCATAGGCTGTTGACCCACCTGCTTGCTATAGTTTACAGTTCATTATCCTATAGGACTCACCTATGTATAGATAGCAAATGCTCTGTGGGGTTCTTGAGAGTCTGGGTAGTACTGAGCTAGGATGGAAAGTTAGGGGAGCTGGAGCTGGGTTTTGGTGCAGTAGCTAATAGATTAGAATGCCAATATTAGAATGCAATAGATGAGAATGCCCATACTCCATATCTGAATGCCTGGGTTCAAGTTCTGACTCTTGATTTTGCTCCTGATCCCATCTGCCTACCAGTGCACACTCTGGAAAACAGTATAGCTCAAGTTCTTGGGTCCCAGGTTAGACATTGTGGCATAGCAGGCTAAGCCACTACTTGGATTGCCTGCATCCCATATTGGAGTGTCTGGGATTGAGCCCTGCCTTGCTTTCCATCTGACTCTGCTGATATGCCTGGAGACAACAGATGGTGACTGAAGTATTTTGAGTTTCTGCTATCCACACAGGAGACCTGGGTACAGTTCTGGCTCCTGTTCCAGCCCTGGCTATTGTGGGCATTTAGAGAGTAAGCCAGAGACTAAGAGGTCTTCCTTTTTCCCTCTTCATCTGTCTCTCCACCCCATCACTCTACCTCTCAAATGGAAACAAAAAATCAAAATGGGTGGATCTCTGCCACCCTTGTGGATGGCCCACATGGAGGTCCTGGCTCCTAGCTACAGCCTGGCCCAGCCTCAGCTGTTGCAGACATTTGACAAGTCCCCATCTCTCTACCTATTCGCCCTTCCCTCTCTCCCTGTCTCTCAGAACAAAATAAGGTAGTGAGTGGAAAGGATTGGGAAGGGCTGAAAGGATTGTCAGAGGCCCCACATTATATCCTGTGGGCTCCCAAAGGGCAGGGCTGGGCCTAACAAGAGGCCCCAAGGAGCAGCGATTATCATAGGAAAATTCAGCCATGGCCACAATGGTTTTAAAAGGTCTTTTTAAAATACCACATTTTCCAAACACTGAACATAAAAATTGTAGCTGACAGGATTCTGGATGTGGTTTGAAGGCAAGGCCAGCAGGATTTGCTGAGGTGGGAAGTATGATGTGAGAGGTAACTGCCATGTTGGTGCCTTCAGAAGCTGAGTGAACAGAGTTGCTAAGAGCTGAGATGATGGCAAGCGGAAGCTCCACTTGGCATTTCACTCTCAACCTTCCCCTTCGTCTCTGCTGACTTTGTGAGGCCACAGATGACCTTGTGCCACTCCCCACATTACTCCTGAGCCCTGTGAAGTCACTCCAGTCCCCTTTCCTGCATGTGCCTGGGCCCCTGGGGCTCCCCCGACTCAGCCCTTCCCTGCCTTAGTGTCCTTGCACGTGCAATGCCCCTGCACTCCCTGTGATACCTGCTCCCTTCAGGAAGCCCCAGTGTCAGTTCACTGGGAGCCTTCGCCAATGCCACCGTCTCAGAGCAGAGTCACTCCGTGCTCACTAGCCTTGACCTAGTTCCCTAAAGAAGCCCAGCATGTCCTGGGAGACTCAGAGCAGAGGGGTTGGAGTTGCCCGCCATGGCAGGGTTTGTAGAGTGAGCACTAGCATTCCTGGGTGTCTTCGCTCTTACTGCTTCCTGAGCTGAGTTTTCTAGTAAACATCTTAGCACTGCAGGAATGCCTCAGGAGTTAGTGTCTCAGGGCGGTGCAGCCCCTCGCCTGGGAACTTTAATCTGGAGGCCCAGAGCATTGTTCACCCTTCCTTTCCATCTTACCAGGTGGAAACGGCTCAGGCCTCTCTCTCTGTGCTTTGCCTAGCTCTATTTTGCTCCCTTTTTTATTGTTAATTAAATGAGTGTGTGTGTGTGTGTTACTTAACAGCAGAGACAGGTACATGGAGAAAGAGAAAGAGGGAGAGCTCCTACTTGACCATTCATGCCCCAAATACCCACAATAGCCAGGATTAGAGTGAAGCCGAAGCCAGGAGCACAGAACTCAATGCAGGTCTCCCACGTGGGTGGCAGGGACCCAAATGCCTGATCCGATGGCTCCTGCCTCCAAAGCTGTGTGTTATCAGGAAGCTGGAATTGAAAACAGAGCCCTAACAGAAACCCAGTACCCCTGGTACTGGTGGGAGTGTCCCAGATGGCATCTGAGCTGGCCCCCACCCAGGCTGTGCTGTCCCCGGTGCATTCCTGCTGCAGCGTTCCCAGAGTGTGCTGAAGGTGGAAAGGGTGCCTTCACCCCAGAGCGAAGTATTTCCTGGCCTCCCGAGCGCTTTTAACATGAGAGAACAATGTGCTGGGCCTCGAGGAGCCTCACGGAGCTCATGGAGCCGGCTCTGGAGTTGGGACTAGGAGGACACAACCCATCCCCTAGAGTATAGGTCAGTCTCTCGCCCCAAGCTGATAAATGGTGTCATAAATGCCTAGCCGTGCAGAGATGCATCAACGATCCACGTCCACCTTTGCAGACCAGCTCATCCATGTTCATCAGTGGTCACCAGATAAACAGAACTGATGAGGTGTTGAGGGAGATTTATTTTAAGGAATCGGCTTGTGCTTTGTGCAGGCTAACAGACCAGAAATTCCAACAGGAATTATGCTGCAGTCTTGCAACTGACGGCTGGCTGGGACTGAATCCCGTTTTGGAAGGACTGGGGTCTTGTAAGGTATTCCGCTGTCTGAATGCAGTCCACCAGCGTTAGGGAAGGCAGTCCGGTCTCCTCACAGTGTGCTGACATAAATGTTAATCACGTCTCACAAGCATCTTCACTGCAGCATCGGGGATGGGTCCTGATGAGTCAATGAATTTAGCTAAGTGGGCAATAAAATTAGCCTTCATACTGTCACGCTACTTGCAGCCATGATTTGTAGTTTTTGGCCTTTGCTCTTTTCATTCCATCTGGAGAACCTGCTCTCAGGCCAGCACAATGGCGCAATTGGCTAATGCACCCCCTTCGGGCTCTGGTATCCTATATAGGCACAGGTTCATGTCCTGGCTGCTTCACTTACTATACAGCTCCCTGCTTATGGCCTGAGAAAGCAGTAGAGGACAACCCAAAACCTTGGGACCCTGCACCCGTGTGGGAGACCCAGACGAACCTCCTGGTTCCTCGCTTCAGATCAGATCAGCTCTAGCCATTGTGGCCACTTGGGGAGTGAACCAGTGGTTGGAAGACCTTTCTCTTTGTTTCTTCCTCTCTCTGTAGATCTGCATTTCCAATTAAAGTAAATAAATCTTTTTTTAAAGAAGAAGTAGAATAAACAAAATACAAACCTGCACCCATTTGGGATGCCAGCACCACCAGCAGAGGATTAGTGTGCTATACCAACAGCAGCCACTCACTAACCCACATTTTCAGTCTAAGCTGAGTCTGTCTCCCTCTCATCCTTGGCCACCTTTTTGTCCCGTTGGAGGCTTTTCTGGGTCTGTGTGTTACAGAGAGACTTTGAGGTTTTCTGTTGTCTTATATTTGCAGGTATTGGCAAGAATGTAGTTTGTGAGAAGGCAGCAACCTCGGTGGATGCCTTCCGCATGGTGACAGCCTCCCGCTACTACCCGCAGTTGATGAGCCTGGTGGGGAACGTGCTGCGCTTCCTGCCCGCTTTCGTGCGCATGAAGCAGCTGATAGCCGAGCACTACGTGGGCGCCGTGATGATCTGCGACGCCCGCGTCTACTCAGGCAGCCTGCTCAGCCCCAGCTACGGCTGGATCTGTGATGAGCTCATGGGCGGCGGGGGCCTGCACACCATGGGCACCTACATCGTGGACCTGCTGACGCACCTCACTGGCCAGAGAGCCGAGAAGGTGCACGGGCTGCTCAAGACCTTCGTGAGGCAGAACGCCGCCATCCGCGGCATCCGCCACGTCACCAGCGATGACTTCTGTTTCTTCCAGATGCTCATGGGCGGGGGAGTGTGCAGCACAGTGACGCTCAACTTCAACATGCCAGGCGCCTTTGTGCACGAGGTCATGGTGGTGGGCTCAGCGGGGCGCCTTGTGGCCCGGGGCGCCGACCTGTACGGGCAGAAGAACTCGGCCTCGCAAGAGGAACTGCTGCTGAGGGACTCGCTGTCGGTGGGTGCAGGGCTGCCTGAGCCGGGGCCCCAGGATGTCCCCCTGCTCTACCTGAAGGGCATGGTCTACATGGTGCAGGCGCTGCGCCAGTCCTTCCAGGGGCAGGGGGACCGTCGCACCTGGGACCACACCCCTGTCGCCATGGCCGCGTCCTTTGAGGATGGGCTCTACATGCAGAGCGTGGTGGATGCCATCAAAAGGTCCAGCCGCTCTGGGGAGTGGGAGAGCGTGGAGGTGCTGACTGAAGAGCCGGATACCAACCAGAACCTTTGTGAGGCGCTGCAGCGGAATAACCTGTGAGCCAGCGTGTGCATGATCCTCCCTGGCATGGCAGGGGCCTGGGAGGGACCAGGGAACTGTGATGGGAGTGCAGCTGCACCCAAGACTGCCCCATTGGATGAGTCAGCCTAGCCAGGGTTGAATGAAGCCACAGCCGCGGAGGTCCCGTCAGCAGCTTTTTCACCCCTCGGACTTGCAGGGCACCTACCCTGCTCAGGGCTGGCCCAAGCCCCCTGCAGGCCTCTTTATGGTTATCCTAGTGAGCCCGGGCCAGCACGAGCCCGCCCTGTGGGCTCCTCTACCTGGTCTCTGGTCCCACCTGGCTGAGAACGCACAGCCAGGAGCCCACAGGGCTGCCTCCTGAAGCCTGAGGAGAAGCAACAGAAGCAGGCAACCAGGCCCTTCTTGGCTGCGGCGACATTCTCAGGCATGGCGAGGGCAGCCAGTCATCACTCAGGGAGCCACCCTGCCCTCCCATGCAGCGGCCCCACGGGCTCTCCCTCTTCTCCACAGAGACACCATGTTTTGTAGCTCTGTACTCCTTAGGAAGATAGCCTCTGATATGGCAGAAAGGAGACAAGGGAGTGCTCTAGAATGTTAGGAAATACCAATAAATCAGAAAATGCAGCCTGCTAGCACGTGAGGTGGTTTATTTCAATCATTATATCTTTTCTAATCAAAGCCTTCTTCATTACTGTAGATGATTTTCTCTTTCCTCGTGGCTGCACAGGGGTCCATCCAGATGTGGTGGGTCACACAGGTCCCCACCACTGCCCACCACCAGCTTCTCTCTGAACCTTGGTTCATCTCCAAGGGCCAAATCCCAGGAGCCCTCCACAGCAAAGGGTTTCTCTGGAGGACGAGACTCCAGGCTGGCGCGTGGCTCTTTGAGGCCTGTGGCAGACAGATGCAATGAGAGCTGAGGACAGGAGGGGTTCTGTTCCTAAACTGTGGTCTTGGCTCCAGGGGAGCCCCCCAGAAGGTAGGTGGGGTCAATCCTGGGAGCCTCTGGCTCCCCTAGCCTGCCCAGCTGGTCAGTCAGCTGCTATACTTACTGCTACCTGTGTTCCAGCCAGAGGTCACCTCCCAGCTCTGGTAGGGGAAGTGGGTGGGTGCCAGGAAAGGGTATGTCCACTTTTGTTTGTTATCCCAGGCAACCAGCCTTACTAAGCCGGGACCTGCCTCTATAGCCTTCTCTTACCCTCCTCCTTGCCCTGCCCTGGCTTCCTGTTCCTCCTGACACCCCTGCCAGAGCTACCAGGTTTCTGTGGTATCCTGGTTTCAGATGGCATCATCCTTGTGCATTAAGATGCCCAGGGTCAGCATTGCATGAGCTGTGCTGTGTGCTGAGCCTCTGGACAGACACTGCATATGTGTTCATCTTCATGCCACTCTGGGCAGAGACTGCTGTTGCTATATGCCCATTGCTCAGCTCAGAAAGCTCAGGCATGGAGGAACCAAGTTGTCTCCTGTCAGTCTGGAAACCCAGGAGCCTGGTCAGACCCGTCTGACAGCAAAGCCTGACCTTAAACCATGGGTTATCCAGCAGTGGGGCACTCCCTGCTCTTGAGGGCTCTGGCATTGCCTCTCCTTATAGCAGGAATCCCAGCCCTGCCTGAACTAAGGAGAGACTGCCAAGCAGGACATGGCTGCCAGCCTGCTGTCCCTGCCATAATAAGGCCAAGTCAGTCCAGCTCCAGGCCTCCTACTTGTGTTCACTGGGAAGTCAAAGTTTCCCCTACATTGGACAGTTGACTGGAAATACACCAGGTTTCTTGGACTGCTGCTATGGAGAATGCACTTGTGTTCTGGGGAGCTCTGTTTACTGAGTCACCAAAGGAGCTGGGGCAGGTGGCAGTAGGCCTAATGCAGAGCCATTTGATGAGGACCTCAGGTCGCATCCATTGCCATGGGGTGCACCACTCATTATCCCTTAGATACCCCTATCATTCCGTCTCCTGGCCATGGGATGAGGAGGAAATATGGCCCTTTGATGCCCTTGGCAAAGGGGAGCCCAGAAGATTCTAGCCCGCAGCTGGTTCCAGGCTTGTCCTGTGGCGCCCCCTCCTGGAGGAAATCAGCATCGTCTCCCAGGACCTGATTTTCAAATCTGAGGATTCTACCCAGTTCTTCCTTGGGTCAAAGTTTTCTGTTGTTGTTTAAGATTTATTTTATTTATTTGAAAGGCATTAATTATTAGCGGGAGAGGGGAATACAGCTCTTTCATCTGCTTATTCATTCTTCAAATGACTGCAACGGCCAGTGTTGAGCCAGGCTAAAGCTGACCCAGCTGGAGCCAGGATCTTCTTCCAGGTCTTCCAAATGGGCACAGGGGCCAAGCACTCGGGCTTCTTTCCCAGGCCATTACCAGGGAACTGGGTTACAGGTGGAGCAGCTGGAAGCAGTGCCCATATGGGGATACTGGTGGCGGTATACTATACCACAGCACCAGCACTACAAGGTCAGAGTTGTTGTAAGCCAGTGCAAATTCCTCTCCATTTCTCTCCTGATACAGCAAGCAGAACTGAATCTACAATAACCAGGGACTTATCCAGTTTACAGTGAAATTTAGACCTTGTACCTAACCAGGGCACCTGTTCCACAGCTCCCTGGCCTGCTTTGCTCTCCCCACTCCTCTTCACCCTGCTGCCTGAACAACTGCTCCAAAAAGTCAGGCCAGCGTCACTACTTGTCCACACCTCTCATCACCCCAACTTTGCCCAGTCTGAGATCCTGCCAGCAGTGTCCTCTGTCTTAGCTATGCCATCTTTCTCCTCCTGGAAGTAACTGGAGGGCTGCCTCGTCACCACTTGTCACTTTGGCAAAGTGGTGGCCTTTCCCATCATCTGTGGCCCTACATACTGCCTTTGTTCCTAGTTGCATGTGTCTCCTTCAATCTGCCACTTCAGCATTCTCATGGAGTGAGATTCTGGGAGCCCCTCTGGAGCTCCAAGGGCCTACAGGCTAACAGGCCTCAGGACATGCACACCAGTTGTTTCTTGGACTTGTTTTCGCCTTCGGTTATGGGGAGAGCGGAAGCAGAGCTTCCCCAGCGAGGCTAGCCTCGTCCACACCTGCAGCCCCAGAGAGCACAAAGAAAGTAGGCGCTCTAGCCAGGCCTCAACCAGAGAGCCCCGGGCACCCAGACACTGCAGAACTTGGGAGAAGGGGGTCCTCCTGGCCCCAAGTGTAAAGGTGCCATCTCTCTCAAGGTCACTTGGCTGTGCTTCCTCAGCCAGAAGGTCGAAGGTTAAGTTCAGTTTCTACCCTGAAACGCTCTTAGATTATGTGTGCCAGGTTCTGTGGCCTGGATCTGATCCACCTGATCTCCTCCCAGGGACATCTGCAGACAGGAAAAGAGTGAGTGTCCTGAGCCTGGGGCTTGTCCTGGAGCCTGAAACCACCCGGGGAACCCCCAGGCAGAGGACGCAGCCCTGCTCACCTTACCCTGCGGCCTCTGGATGGACCTGCCTGTTCTCCCTCCAGCAGCTTCTTGCCAGGCTGCTATTCTAGGGCCCTACACATACATGGTCATGGACTTCTGGGATCCCAGCCTTTCTGATTGTGGCTGCTCCTCTTGCAGCTTCCTCCAGCCCTCATCATGGTCTCCTTATCTTTGTGGCACTTCATGGAGACCCTGAGCTGGATGAGTGCCATGCTGTGCTGTTTTCTGTCCAGTGTCATCAACAGATGCAGCCATGGTAACAGTGACAGGCAGATGCTGTAGCATAGGGTGCAGGAAGTCGAGCACCCTGTGGAGGAGTGAGGGAATGAATGCAGACCACACAGGGAAGATACTGGTGTGGGAATTATAGGGAATTATAGGCAGGCAGTTTGGATTTTTGTTGTTGTTGTTGTTGTTTACACTGAGTCACTCCCCAAATGCCCGCAACAGCCCAGACTGGACCAAACTGAAGCTACGAGCCCAGAATTATATGGGCTTCCCCTATGGGTGACAGGAAACTACCTACTGGAGCTTCAAGTGCTGCCTCCCAAGGTGTGTGCATTAATAGGAAGCTGGAATCAGAACTGGGACTGGGACACAGGCATGCTGCCATGGGTATTCCAGACAACACCTTTACTGCACCGAGTGCTCAAGTGAGAGTGACACCATCAGGGAGCACCTGGGAGGGAAACAGGGTGTAGGAGTCTGGGCAAAGGGCAGGATGGGGGTCTGGCTTGATGGACAGATTTTAGGCCTGAACATGTGTAAGAACAAACTCAAGAACAGCAGGTTAGAGAAAGGCACTATGTCTCAGCATTCCTTCTGAGGTGGCAGAACCATCAGCTAGCCTATCCCTGGGAAGCAGCGAACAGGACCAAACACCTGCTCCCCGGGCCACAACAGACTGTCTTTTCTTCTCCCCACACCCACCTTCCTCTTTAGCATCCACATAAGCAGAGGTAAAGTGGGGGTGGACAATGCTGGGGATACCTGGGTTGGCTGTTTGTGCTGCCAGTACCCTAAGACACAGCAAGGTGATGGCTCAAGTAGTGGGGTCTCTGCTACACACCAGATCGAGTTTCCAGCTCCTTCCTAGCTTTGGCTCCTGGCTTCAGATTGCATCAGTTCCAGCCGTTGTGGTCTTGAGGAGTGAACCATTGGATGGAAGATCTTCCTCTCTGTTTCTCCTCCTCTGTGTGTATCTGCTTTTCAATAAAGATAAATAAGTCTTTTTTTTTTTTTTAAAGGAAAGATGTTTATTTCCAAGGAACATGGCTGGGCAGGGCAGAGCTATCCTCCCCTTTCCACCAGGGCCTGGGCCCACAGGCTGCTGCCCCAGCTCTGGCCCCTGCACAACAGGACAGTCACTTGTACTGTGGAGAGAGTGGGGGCACTAGAGGAGCTGTGCAGACGCTCAGCATCTTGTCAACGTCTGCCTCGGCTGCCTTGTCCACCTCAGTCTTGAGGCAGTCACTCAAGTCTGCATCAGGTGAACCCCCAGGCTCCTCACCAGGAGGCAGCACGTGCATGGGGGTCAGCAGCACACTGATGCAGGGCATGGCGAGGCCAGAGCCCAGCTCTGCTGCTGCTGTTGCAGGTAGCAGGGCCTGCAGTGGCTCCACCCCTGCCTCCTCTGGGACCAGGCCCGGCTCAGAGTCTGGCTCAGCCTCAGCCTTGGTCTTGACCTCGGCCTTGGTTTCCACATCCTCTTCACTGGCCTGATTCAATTCAGGATTGCAGTAGTTGATATACTGGTACAGTGGCCGTAGGCGCTGGGCCTTCCCTGCAAGGACCCAGAGCAGCAACTGGAGTGCCAGGCCACAGGGAGCCAGCAGACAGGGAGACAAGGGAAAGCCCCAAGGCTGCCACTCACGCTCTGGTCCCAAGACCTCTGATGGAGCAGGTGCTGCGGAGGCAAGGAGCCCAGAAGCCCCCAGGCTCTTGCGCTTCTTTGCTTTCTTGTGCTGTTTGGGGGATGGCGAGGGCTCACTCTGGCTTCCCTCCGACTCCTCCCTCTGCAGTGACAGCCCTGGGGATAGCTCAACTTCGACCCTAGGATGAGCATGGAAACTAGCAGCCTGTCCCACAGCCAGGGACCGAAGCCCTGAGCCCAGGGACTAGCCCTGCCAGCCTGCCTGCCCTACCCTACCCCCTGCCCCAGCAGGTGACCCGTGGCAGGAGATGGGAGCCACCCTGGGAATCCACCAGGCCTCAGCCTGCAGCTCCTTCCCCAAGTCCCCTCACTTGACCGGCTTCCTTTTGGGCCCATGACCAGGCCTCACGGGAGTGACTATAAGCCTGGGGCCTCTCTCCTCTGGCACCTCCACCTCCAGCTTGGGCTCTTGCTCCTGGGTCTCAGGCTCCGAGGCAGGTCCTCTTGGACAATTGTCTTCCCCTGTGGTCCTGAAGACCTCGGGGGCTGGCACCAGGCTCTGAGCTTCCAGCACTGGACACTACAAGTGACATACAGGCAACCAGTGACAGAGTCTACCACAGAGCCCTCCAGGGGGTCCTCCTGGGTGCCATGGCCAGGGTGTGAAGAATACAAAACGTTGGTCATCACCTCATAGAGGTTACTGGACGCCAGTGTGAGCTGCGCCGGCTCCACGGCCACCTCCTCCTGGGCTTCAGGAGGCCTCCCGGCTGAGGTCATGGCTGTGCAGAGTCCACCCGTCCCCACCTGGCGAGCGGAAAGAGAGAGCCTCGAGGGGCTGCACAGTTGGGGACCCTGCGTTGACCCCAGAGACTGGCTGGGAGGCAAGCTGCGAAGATTAACTGGTGGTGTCCCCACCCACCCTCGGCTGGAACTACACGCCCCAGGAGGCTTTGCGGCGGGGTCACTGGCCCCTGACCTCAGGAACGAAATCCAAGTGTTGCTTGGCAACAACAACTCCCTCCTGAGCGCTGCTGCTGGCGGCAAACCTGCTGAAGTGAGCCGGGCTCGAGGAGTTACCGGGAAGTGGGCCGCGAACCCGGAAGGGACGTGGAGTAGCCTCGGGGTCGCAGAGGCCGCCAATGCGGGTCGGAGCTGGGAGGCGTGACGTGGGACTGGGAAGGGGCGCAGGACCGGGAGTGAGGCCCGGGTCTGTGTGTGGGTGGAGGGAGGGCTGGGCAGGGGGTCCCGGGCCGGAGGTGCACAACCTGGCCACCGTTGCAGGGCGTCGAGGACAGCATGTGCGAGGGCCCGTCCCGCATCTCGGGGCCCATCCCCCCGGACCCCACGCTCTGCCCCGACTACTACCGGCGCCCGGCATCAGGTGAGTTGGGGGCAATGCGGTGGAGCCAGGCCGGGGGTCTTCCTCCCCACCGCTGAGCTCCGCGCTTGGGGCACTTTCCCGTGCTTCAGCCCAAGGGCGTCTTGAGGGAAACGCACTGAAGCTGGGCCTGCTGACCACCGACTGCAGCCTGGACGCCACACCTCCCCGAGGACCCCGCATCAGGCCCGGAGGCCGAGAGAACTTGGAGCGGGGCCGACTCGGCGTGGGTGACGTGCTGCTGCAACTTCAGGGCATCTCCCTCAGGCCCGGAGTCTCCCCCAAGAGTAAGTCCCCGCAGAAGGAAATCCAGTCCGAAGCTGCTGTGCCTTCCCTGCTCCCGGCCCAGGCTTTGGTCCATCCATAGAAGGAGGTGGACTTGCAGGAGGGGCCTGAGTGAGGTAGTGGCCAGGACGCATCAGCCTCATATATTCTTGTATCCAATGGCACCCTGGTCTTGCTGTGTGCCAGGCCCTAGCCATGCCAGGAAAACAGGGTTGAAGGCAAGGTGGGAAACAACAGGTGAAGTAAGTGGAACATAGGAGATGATTCATGGTATTATTATTATTATTATTTTAAGGTTTTTATTTATTTTTGTATTCAAAAGGCAGAGTTACAGAGAACAAAGGAAAGAAGCTTCCATGCGGTGGTTCACTTTTCAAATGGCCACTAGTTGGGTTGGTTGGGAGCCAGACACTTCTTCCACATGCCACACAGGATACAGGGTCCCCAGAACTCAGGCCCTGCTCCTCTGCCTACCCAGGCACGTAAGCAGGGAGTTCATGGGAAGTGGAGCAGTCAGAACTTGAACTGGCATCCATATGGGTTGCTGGCACCACAGGCAGGGGGTTAGCTTACTGTGCTGTGGTGTCAGCCCCTCATATTTCTTTATTGCTGTAGAAATAGACGATAACCAGGAGGTATTTATGTGTAGGGAAGGCAGCAAGGTGAGAAGATCCAGTGTGTGCAAAGGGCTAACATGCTTAACTCAGGCACAGGAAGATGTCAAGGACAGGAAGGGCCCTGTGTGTGAGCTAACGGAAGCCAACTGCATGGGCCCAAACAGGGCAAAGCCTGGGAGCATCTTTTCCCCAGGGAAAGACCCTAAAGACCACGAGAAGGAGAATTTGCGGCGAATCAAGGAGATCCAGCGACGCTGGCGGGAGCAGGAGCAGGGCCGGGAGCGAGGCCAGCCGCACCCCCTGAAGGCTCTGTGGCGCTCACCTAAGTATGACAAGGTGGAGTCTCGAGTCAAGGCCCTGCTACAGGTACCTCCCTCCAGGAGTCCTGTTTGTCTTTTTGGTGATTTGGTGGGGTGGGTGGGGCAAGTCCTAGGGAACCAAGGGACACCAGGTTCTGCCTCAGGATGGAGCTGCGGACGCTTCTGCCAAGTGGCCATAGCTATGCTGATCCTGAGTGGCAAGCAGGGATTGGCAGAGGGAAAGTAGGAGAAGGGAATATTCCAGAAAGAGGGCGGGCGTTTGGCCTGGTGGTGGAATCACTGATGAGGAAGTGTGTGTCTCAGCCAGGTTTGAGCCAGCTCCAGCTCTCACCTCCAGCTTCGACTGGTGCCTTTCTGGGGATGCAGTGGCCACAGTTCAAGGAGTGGGTTCCTGTCACCCCATGGGACACCTGGATTGAGTCCCAGCCTCCCAGCTTCAGCCAGTACAGCCATCTGGGAGATGAGCCAGCAGACAGGAGCTCTATCTGCATGCCTCCCAGGAAAGAAAGGGGAACAAGTGAGGTTTAATGAAAAGAAAACATTCTACAGGGTGGAACCATGCAGGTGGAAGTAGGGTGACCTGAGAGCAGAGTGACCGTAGGCAAGGAGATGCTGGGCACTCTGCCGCCAGTGTGGCTTCTGCTACAGGGAGAAGGCAGCTGGACCCGCATCGCCAGGCCCCTCAGACCACCTTTCTGCTTCCTTCGTTCTCTTTTCCCCTCCTTCTCCCTTCCTACTTTCTGAACCCGTTCAGTTTTCCCCCACAGAAGTGGCGGGAGCCCAAGTATTGGGGCTGTCACCACTGCCTCTCCATGTTGTCTGTGTCACCAGGAAATGAGGCAGGAAATGAGGGTTAGGAGCCAGAGCTGGGATTGGAACCTGGACATTTTGGTGTGGGACGTCTCTCTAACAGGCATCTTAATGTGTTAAGCCACCTTCTGAAAGCACACCAGATCTTTTTTTTTTTTTTTTAATTTTTATTATTTTTTTATTGGAAAGGCGGATATACAGAGAGGAGAGAGAGAGAGAGGAAGATCTTCCATCCGATGATTCACTCCCCAAGTGAGCGCAACGGCTGATGCTATGCCGATCCAAAGCTAGGAGCCTCTTCCGGGTCTCCCACGCGGGTGCAGGGTCCCAAGGCCTTGGGCCGTCCTCGACTGCCTTCCCGGGCCACAGGCAGGGAGCTGGAAGGGAAGCGGGGCTGCCGGGATTAGAACTGGCACCCATATGGGATCCCGGGCGTGCAAGGCGAGGACCTTTAACCACTTGCGCCACCGTGCCGGGCCCAGCACACCAGATCTTTCATCCACTGATCCATTCCACAAATGCCTGCAACACCTGAGGTTGCACCAGGCTGAAGCCAGAAAACCACAGTTAAGTCCCATGTGGGTGGCAGAAACTCAAATGCTTGAGCCATCATCTATACCCTTCATCATGAATGTGAAGTAACAGGGAGCTACAATCAAGGGGAGCCATGTGACTGACACCATGGCACAGTAGATTTAGCCTCTGCCTTAACCTCTGCATGGGCTCTGGTTCAAGTTGCTGCTGCTCCACTTCTTGTCTAGCTCCCTGCTAATGGCCTGATAAAGCAGCAGAAAATGAGCCCTGCACACATTGGGAAAAAACTCCAAGCCTCATTCTGGGCAGTAGTCTGGATGAACACTTAGTGAGTTACTCGGAAGTGCCCCCTGGTGGCTGTGAGCGCCCACTGCCCAGAATGAGGCTTTATCACACAATATCCTGCCTCTCCCCTGGGGCCTTTCTTACCTCTGTCCATAGTCACATGTCACATCTGGAGGAACTGCCAGTGCCCCACCATCAGTGTCTTTGTTGCTATGCCTAATGCCTACCCCAAACCACTTTTGAAACCTTTATTTTAGGACAGTGGAAGGGCAGGCCTAGGAGTATCATGGTGGGAGTCTATCTTGGGTGGATAGTGGCTCCATTTTTCCATCCAAGAATTCAGAAGGATGAGCCAGCTTGTGAGAGAAGACAAGGTCACATGTGGGCGGATAGGAGCTGAAGCATGTGTGGGCCCGCCAGGAGGTGGGACCGCGTCCAGGGAGCAGATGGGCATTCAGGTTTGGATCCCAAATGAGACCCAGGCAGGACCAATAGTCAAGTCGAGGACAATGAGACCGAGGCAATGCCCTTCTGGATTTCAGGGCCTGGAGGCCAGTCGTCAGTGACCTTGGCGGGACCACAGCCAGGAAGCACAGCTAGGAAGGAGAGCAGTGATAGCTGGACCAGGACTGAGGTAGAAGGAGAGGCGATTATGTGTTCATGAAGCCGTGAGAGACTCTGTCCCCGTGCCCATTAGGAGCCATGCCCCTCTTCTCCCTCCCCCTGCCAAGGGAATGGGCTCACAGGCATGGGGCGAGAGAAGTCCCCGAGCGGCTGGTGGGACAATGCTTGGTGGCTTGGATCCTGTCCTTAGCCTGTCTGTCCTGTCTGCTGTGCCCTGCCTCCAGGAGCCAGGCCGTGCCTCTGGGACAAAGCCGGCCAACTTCCTGCGGGCGCACTCCCGCTGTGGCCCTGGACTTCCACCAACTCGGGCCCCCAGCCCCCAGCTGAGCCCACGAGATCCCCAAACTAAGGTGAGCACCATGCATAGGAACTGGGAGGTGACACGGACAGGGACCCCAAAGACAAGAGGGGATGGGGCGTAGGAGCACAGCACAGAGTCGACAGCCATGTCAGCCTGGCCATGTTCTACAGGGGCCCAGCCTGGCTGTGGACTTCATCAGTCACAATGCACAAGCTGCTACCAAGGCCCCCCGGCGGCGGCATTCCCGCTCACTGCAGGTCCTGAACCAGGAGCTGGAACGGCAGCAGCAAGCCCAGGAGCACTACAATGCCACGCAGAAGGGTCATGTGCCCCATTAGTAGGTCCTGAAGTCCGAATGGGGGTGGGAGCCAGCCGCTGTCCTGGGGGATGCCCACCCAGAGCCTATTTGTCCACAGCTTGCTGCAGCGTAAGGACCTGTGGCGGCAGGAGGCTGAGGCCCGCCAGCGGAGCCAGCCAGACCCCAGCATCCCTGCTGGGCACACTCTCATGCCTGAGAGCCAGCGGCTGGAGACCCTGGACAGTCTGCTCCAGAGTGAGTACCCATGTGCACTGTGCCAGGGCAGGCAGCCCATGAGGAACCATGCACCTCTGCCCAGCACCCCCCTTCTCGGCTCCCCTGTAGGCCAGAGGCAGCTGCTGCGAGAGCTCATACTGCTGCCTGCGGGGGCCGACTCACTGAGAGCCCGCGGCCACCGTGCTGAGCTGGAACAGAAGCTTGTGCAGGTAGAGGAAGCCATTAAGATCTTCTCCCAGGCCAAAGTCTTTGTGAAGATGGATTCCTGAGCCCTTCTGCAGGGTAGTGGCCAGGAAGTCTGTGCTAAGGCTGGCAACATGGGTCCCCCCTGGCAGAGTGGAGGGCTGAGCACAGGGTAGGGAGTGGGCAGCAGCTCCAGGCATCAGTGACTGTGAAAGGGCTCCTTGGCCTTGGCACCTGTTTCTTGTTTCTTGAGATTAAACCTTTTGTACCTGGTGGAAACTCTTTTCCCTAAGAGCTCTCCTCACCAAGCGCATGTCAAGCCTGGCGGCCCTCCTGCTGCTCTTATCAGCCCCGCCTCACGTCTGGGAGCAAAAGCAAGCTTGTGGGACAAGGGAAAAGGCTGGCATCAGGACACAGAAGGACCAGGATGGCATCTGTAGAAAATTTTTAATGTCCCCTAGGCCAAGGGATCACTGTGAGCAAACCAAACACCCTGGTGGATGGGAAGTCCCTGCCCAGTCCCAAAAGCTGTGCCAGCCAAGAGATGGCACCATTGGCCTGTCACAGGCTGAAGCCGCTCCCATCTCCGCGCATGCGACTTCCCCAGCCCAAGCCAGCCTGCTGCTGGCCATCTAGGGAGGGCAAAGAGCTGTGGGCACCAGGAAGTAGGCAGCTGGCATGCAGGTCCCAGCCCGCAGGCCCCCGAGTCAGCCCATTGGAACAGGGAGGCTGGCGGTTCTCAATGACCAGGTCATTGCTGTCATCATCACTGTCTGGCTCAGCAGGCCCAGGCCCCACGGAGGAGGAGGGCCCCACTGGGCGCTTTGACACTCCCCGCACCACGTTGTTGCGCTGGTTGGCGGGTTTGACAGTGACCACGAGGTTGTGGCTGTTGGCGACCATCATGTCCGTCACTTGGTCCAAGGTCTTCCCAGCCACCTCGATGCCATTGACCTCAAGGATCTCATCACTGACAGCCAGCAGCCCCGTACTCTCGGCCAGGCCCCCGCGGACCAAGCGCGAGATGAAGATACCGGGGACCCGCTCCAGGCCCTGCGGGGCCACCCGGACGCTCACACCATCTCTGATGTAGAAGCCAAGGGGCCGGTCGGAGCCGTGCTTGTGCAGCCGCACCCGCCGGTGGGTCTCGGGCAGGAGATCCACGTCGATGACTGAGGAAATCTGGCGGAAGTCCTGGGGGAGGCTGATGAGCAAGGGGGGCCGGGCGCGCAGGGATGTCGCCGGCCGCAGTAGCAGCCCTTTCTTGCGCCGCTGCAGGGAGTTGGAGGCAAAAGCTAAGCCACTGGAGTCGGCTTCTGCTGCAGGAGAGAGGGGGTGTTGTGATCAGAGACCCCATCTCCCGCACGGGCCCTTGACAGGAAACAATGGCCACTTCCTACCACTTGGAGGTCAGGCCAAGGGCAGGCTGCCCTGGATATGGACTAACCCTTACACACCTGCGCTGCCCTGCCCCAAAGAGACCGCCCACCCTTCCCCAACCTCACCCCGCTTCTGCACCAGTAGGCGCAGCGGCGGCGGCCCACTGGCCAGGGCCCGGTGCAGGCTGTCATCGTTGGTGAGGGGTAGTAGATCACCGTGGGCATCCGTGTAGCCGAGCAGTACGTCCAGACCCGGAATCTGGTGCACCATACGCAGCAGCCGGGAGAACTCTTGGAAGCAGCTCACGGAAGCCCGGGGCAATGCGAAGCGTCGGAACTCGGCGTCAAACTGGAGGGCGGGGGTGGGGAGAGAGGAGGGGTCATCAAGGCGGAGAAGCAGGTGCCCTTTCCTCCCCAAGAGGCTGAGGGTGCAAATGAGGGGCGAGAAAGGACTGCCGCAAAAGCTGCCTGAAGCCCAGATCTCCTGCTCCAGTGGAGAGCCGCTGTCCAAGGTCTTTGCCGCCCGGTACTGCAGGTACCAGGGCCACAGGAGGGCTCTGAAGCCCGGCAGTGGAAGGGAGAAGGATGGATGGAGGAAGGAGAGGATGGGGATGGAGAAAGAAAGGTGATGGAGCGGGGGAGAGCGAGGCGGGGGAGGGACCTAGGAGCGCCTGGGGTCGAGGCCGCAGCCGGTACCTAAGAAGCCCTTACTTTGCTCTTCACCTCGACGATGCTGTCGGGGCTGCGCGCCGGGGTCCTCTGCGGCCTGGCCATGGCGGGGCCGGGCGGGCCGGGGACCGAGCCCCAAGCGGCCCCGCCGCGGCGCAGGTGCACAGTCCGGCCGGCCCGCCCGCGCCGCCCCGCCTCGCCCTCCCACCCGGGCCATGACGTCAAGTGGGCAGCGACGGAGAGGGGAAACGCGGAGTCCACGTTTCCTTGGAAACGAAGGGAGGGGGTGGCGGAGAGAAGAGGCTTCCTCGGCTGTTACGTCACGACGCTGGAGTCCGCGCGGCCGGGGAGCGAGAGGGAGCGAGGGGAATGACAGTATCGAGCGTTGTCCGTGTCCCCGCTTCCTCTGGCCTCACAGGACCGAGCATTTGGTAGATGAGGAGACTATTAGTAAATACTTGTTGAATCGCTCAGAGTTACACGGCAGAAGCCGCCGGGCCCCCGCGCTCCTTTCCCATCTGGTCCCTCCCTTCCCGGCCCCCACGGAAGTTTTGACGAGCAGCCCCAACGCCAGGCCGCTCCGAGGAACGTCCCCGTTAAGAACAAGCGGGCCAGCCCCCCTCAGACGTCCGAGCTGGCGAGCGGGGCCCTCGTGCGCACGCGCGGGGGCGGGGCCACGGCCTCAGGACCCGCCCAGCCACACGCGCTTCCTCTTCCGCCGGGAGGCGGGGCCGCGGCGCCCGCGGGAAGCGCAGATCGGTGCCTGCCGGGCCGGCCGTGTTCACGGGGATGGCCGGTGGTGGTGCCTTGGTCCTGAAGCCGTGGATTCGAGAGCTGATCCTGGGGGCAGAGTTTCTCTCGAGTCCGCGGGCCGGGCAGCTGCTCAAGGTGAGCCATAACTCGGGGAGGCCTGGCGGGCGAAGCGGGAGCTCGGGACGGTTGGTTTGATGCCGGTGGGCGCCGTTAGGTATTGCAAGACGCCGAGACCCCGGGCCCATCCCGTGCTCCCAACGCGTCCTACTCGGAGGCCATGCTGCTCGTGTCCGACGGGACCCACAGTGTCCGGTGCCTGGTGACGCGGGAGGCCCTGGACGCCTCGGACTGGTGAGCGACAGCCCAATTTGGGGAGCGCGCGAGATAAAGAGCCCCAGGTGGGTGGGTGGGTGGGTCCCGGCGGGCCGGGCCATGACAGTCACGCTCGCGATAGGGAAGAGAAGGAGTTCGGGTTCCTTGGAACCGAGGGCCGACTGCTGCTACTCCAGGACTGCCAAGTCTGTGTCCAGGTGTCTGAAGGCACCGCGGTGAGTCTGAAGGCCTGCTCGGGGTGGGCATAGAGGGTCTGGGCCGGGCTCTCCACAACGCCTGAGGTCCAGCCCAAAACTCCTTCTTGCAGCCCTCGGAGTTCTACCTCCAGGTGAATCGCTTTAGCCTCCTGCCCTTGGAGCAGCCCCGGGCCCCAGTGATTGATTGGTAGGTAACGCCTCCACCCTGCACCTGCCAGCACAGCTCTACCGCCCACCTTCTGGGCTCTTCTAGGTGGGAGGGTTCGGGCCTCTGGAGCAATTGGCTGCCTTTCACCTTCCTTTTTCTCTTTCCAGTAACCAGGACTCTGCTGTGCAGAGAAAGCTCTGTGACTGCCTCGCGTGAGTCTGGGGCTCAGGTCAGGGCTGAAGGGGTTCTGTTTAGGGGACGGCAGACACGAATGGATGGGGACTGAGGATGGGCCGGGCCCTGAGGCCATCCATTCTGTTCTTCTAGGGACCACCTCTCAGAGTCCACTCCCTCGAGCACAGGTGCGAACATGGGTTGAGCCATTATCCCACGGGATCCTTTCCCCAGCCCTCACCCCTTTCTGCCCACCTTCCCTTCTCTGAGTTTCTGCCCAACCTGCCATGCCCCAAGGCCTGACCCTGACCCAGCTGCTGGAGGAGGTGCAAGAGGACCAGGAGCATCGGGTGGGTTTGGTTCGCCTGGCTGAGAGCTGCCTGGTGTTGGCAGACCCCTGCCCAACTCCGCCTCTGAGCCACTGGGCCGCTGCCCGCTGCGGGGCCACGGTCAGTCTTGGGGGCGGGGGAAGAGGGCCCCGTGGAGGCAGAATCAGGGTGGTGGGGGATTGAGTTAGGGCCAGACTGAGAATTCACCACCCACAGGAAGGAGTTGTGTACAGTGTCCCCAGCCATCTGCTGCACATCTCTGAGAATGACCTGCAAATGCTAAAACTTTTGGGCCTGGGTCAGAGGCCACAAGGTAAGAAGGACTGGAGAGAAGTCAGCAAGGGGGATCTGGTGATTGGGGAAGGAACTGGAACTCAGAGCCCCCAGAGCTGCTAAGCTTCCCTTGTATCCCCAGACCCTGAGCTGCCCCCATCAGAGCCGGCTCCACTGGACACATCTCCAAGCCTGCTCTCCTGTGCTGCCCCAGGTGAGGCTTGCTGGGCTGCACCTGCTCCCTGTCAGACTCCTGCTGGAAGTGGGAGAGGATGCACGGTGAGCAGGGCGGAGCCTACGGTCAGTTCCCCCTTTGCCAGGGACACCTGTGTTACCTGGCCCTACGCTGCTGTCCCAGGAAATTGAGGCCGGCCCCAGCCTTCAGCCTGCTATGTCAACTCCAGACTCAGCACAGGGCATCAGCTGCCAACTTTCGCCAGCCCCCTGCTCGGCCCTCTCTAACTATACACCCAGCCCGATCCCCTTGAATTCTATTCCCAGTCTCTCACCCCTTAGCCGTGGCCCCCACCTACATCAGGCCCATGCAACCAAGGCCCGGAAACCTAGCCTGGAGTTTAAGGAGTTAGGTTTGTCCTGCAAAAACCAGCAGCCTTCTCTCAGGGCTGAAGCCAGCACAGGTACCCAGGAGGTCCATCCTGCGTGGGTGAGTACAATGCATCACAGCCAAAGGGGCAAATGGGGTAGGGGTGGAGGCTGTGGCGGTAGACCAGGTAGGGGATACCTGATGGACCCTCTGCAGACACTGTGCCCCTTGTAGGACCCACCAACAAAGCATCGTGATGGTTCCAGCTTCCAGTATAAGTACCAGCTGCCCTGTACCTCCCTCTGCACCCAGCTCCAGGCAATCAGGTAAGTCCTGCACCTGCCTCTCTCCTCCAGGGCGGCCATCCAAGGCCACCTGACCCACAGTCCACTCTCCTTCCAGGCTCCCCCCGCAGCTCATAGCCTGGGCTTTGCATCTTGTCATGGAGTCGCACACGGAGTCAGAGCTAACCCAGGTGTGACGGGGGCTTCCGGGCACACAAAGTGCTACACTGTGCTTCCATCGAGTTTTTTAATAAAATAATCTCATGCGGCAAGAGAGGAGGGGTCAGAGGGTGGGGCCGCCGCCTCTTTGGTCTGTGGCTGGGGAGGGGGGACTTGGCTCAGGGCTGGGGGAAGGCTCCGGGGATGGTGGGGGCCGAGGCTCCGTTCCGAGACTGGGTCCTGAAGGAGAAAAGGGAGAGAAGTGGGGTCAGGGCTGCCCAAGGCAGTCAGCACTCGTGTCTCACCCCGGCCCCCTCTCACCTAGGCTTGGGGATGGGGGTGCCTCCAGCTTCGGCCTGCGCTTGAGGACAGGAGAGCGCTGCAGCCGCAGGGGCCGGTCTGAGGGGCCACAGGAAGGCTCGCTTGCTGGCCGTGCCCATCCCTTCTCCCCACCTCTGCCCCACATGTTCCTTAGGAGGTACAGCCAGGACAAGCCCACCCAGCTCTTGTCCCCAGCCTCCCAGCTCCCTGGAGCCCACGCTCTGCTGGTGAGGCCTTCTAGAAGCAGAGGCACCCAGCACCTTCCCTCTCCCGTGTTCCACCCTGCACGGAGGCATCTCCCTCACCAGCAGGGGCCTGGAGCTGGTCCTCATGCACAGACACTGCTCGCCGCCCTGGCGACAGAGGCCGCGGTCTCAGCTGGCCATCTGGGGGAGGCCACAGGGTCAGAGTGTGTGCTCAGCAGGCCCCCCACCCTGCCCTGGGCTTTGGCCTTCCCCCCTTCTTTCAGGGTGCCCAGCAAGGCCTCCTGCAGTGCCTGACCCAAGATTAGAATGGAGGCTAGAGTGTCTGCTGACCTTCATTCCTGGGGCCCAGACAGGGGTCCTCTGGGAGGCCTAGGCTGTCAGGAGAGGGGCTGGCTCTGCGGGGGCTTAGGCTGGGGCAGGGGGATGGGGGTCCTGGGCCATCCTGTTGGCCCCAGCCGCGGCCCCTGAGCTCTGCGTTCAGCTGCTGCCCCAGTGTCTTCCAGGAGGCGGCCTCAGGCCCCTGGCCCCCTGGGCTGGGTCTGCACGAGGGGTCTGCCAGGAGAAAAGTGTGAGCGAGTGCCTGGGTGAGGCTTCAGAGCAGAGTGAGCAGGGTCTGATGCCCACCACACTCCCGCCTGTCCCCATATCACCTCCACAGTGGACCTCGCTCACCTGCAGACACCGAGTGGGTGCGGGACTTGATGGAGATGGGAGGGGCTTCTGTGGAACTGTCCATTATGTCACCTGCAAGGCAGGGCTGGGCGCTCAGGGGACAAAGAAAAACCTGCCCTTTCCTACCCCTCCCCCAGGCCAGCTAGCACCTTGGGGACTTGGAGGATAACCTCCTCCCCATGAAAACAGGGTCCTACTGCAGCTCTCCCCTTACCGTCTGAGCCAGCCTTCTTGATCTCGCCATCTTTGCTCTGTAGGAGGGAGATAGAGGAGTCAGACCCCAGCCCAGCTCCCCTTTATGCCAGCCTTGGCCTTTTGTTCCCTCTTGTCCTTTAGAAGACAGAACTCCCATCAACTGGTTCACTTGCAGACATTGTACTGGTTGGAGACAGGACATCAAGCCAGCCAGGTCCCTTGCTGCCTCCCGGGGTGTGCAACAGCTGGAAGCTGTTCCTGGACCCAAAGCCAGCATTGTGCTATAGAATGGGGTTGTCCTACAGTACCAAATGCTTTCCCCACTCTTGTTCTCAGTCCAGCCCCAGGATGGCCACCATGGGGTGAAGTGAGAGCATGGCAGAGAGTTCCCGGTGCAGAGGTGGGGAGTTGGCTGCACACAGCAGTCGCATGCACAGATGACATGATCTCCACCTCAGGATCCACCTCCCGCACTATCACATTTGTGAATCTGAGCCAAGTCTTACTCTGTATGTTTCTTCCTGAAAATTATTAAACTCTAGTTCTTAACAGTGATCATGGTAGGGGCTCAAGGGGCGGGGAGGGCGGAGGCAGCACTGGGCAGAATTGAACAGCACAGGGCTGAGGCCTGCCCCCGCTTCTGAAACACTCCAAGGAAGCCCCTGAGGGCCTGCTCTTTGAGGCACAGGTGACCTGCTCTTGGGTTGCATCTGCAGAGAAGGAATTTCCTAGGTACAAGGAGGAGATCCCTGTGGCCTGGTCAGACCCACCCTAAGCAGGACAAAAATCTGACGAGTAGCAAGAGGAAGGGGCAAAGTAGGTTAATGAGGCCTGCTATTTCCTAGTTGCCTCCACCTGGTTTTAGTCACCCAAACTGCCCAGTGTCCCCCAGCTCACCTGCTTCCTCTTGCCTTCTGCACCCCCGCTGCTACGGCTCACACCAATCCTCTGTAACATCACTTGCACACGCTGTTCAAAGGAAGGGGCCAGCTCTGTTTCCCCCCGCTCCAGGGGCCGCCTCTGGGGACAGAGATGCCTGTATCACACACAGTCCAGCAAAATCCCTGTTCCCCACATACCAGGCCTCACCTTGTCAGGCCTGGCACTCAGTGCAGCCTCCTCCTCTTCCTCCTCAGCAGGCAGTAGGATCATGGAGTAGGCCTTGCTATCCCTTGTGTATCGGGGCCTGCTTCTGCGGGCAGGGTCAGGGCTACTGGTACCCCCCTCAGCCCCAGCAGGCTCCTCCCCACGGCCAGGACGGGCTGGTGGCCGGAGCAAGTCCCCAAGTGTGGTCTTTCGGAGACGAGGGGCTGCCCCAGGGCTGGTCTCTGGATCAGGCCGTGGACCCCTCGTTGAGCGAGGCTTCTTGAAGGCAAAAAGGGTGCCCAGCTTCTTTCTCAGTGTTCGGGGAACAGGAGTAGTTCCCCCCTCTGCGGCCAGGTCCTCCCCAGGGGCCCAGCTGTAGGAACAAGCAGCAGTGAGTGGAGAGCCCTCGGCCTGGGCCATCCCTGTCCCGCCTGACCCCAGCAGCTTCCCCTTGCTCACAGACGCTCCTGCTGGATCAGCCTCTTGGAGAAGAACTCCTCTACACCTTCATCCACGCGGGCGCTGAGCCCATTCCCTTCCTGCGGCAGGGCTGGGGGCACCTGGGCGACACCACAGGATCAGCCTGAGCCCAGCTGGCTTCTCCCCACCCCCACCTGTCCAGCAGCATGCCCCAGCCCCACCAGCTGTCCAGCTCCTGGGTGAGCACACACACCTTGGCCCCCATCTCTTCCGGTCCCAGGGTGCACTCTGTGCCTTGCACCATCCGGTCACCAGCAGGCTTGCACCCACGCACCCCTGGGTCACACTGCCACTTGCCACTTCCCCTGTTCCAAACAGTTCCCTGCAGTACCCCCGCCCCCACCCCACCCGGTCTGCTGCCGCCTCAACGACGCCAGCTGCTGCGTCAGACCCTCTGGGGGGCCTCAAGCCAGCTCCTCCCTCCCTCGGTCTTGGGCCGGTGCCCACTGCCCTTCCCAGTACCCAGCCCACGCACATCCCTCCACACAGACACCCCCAGTCATGCAGCAGATACAGTAGTGCACCCCCCAACTGCCCAACATCTTTCAGAGGGAGGATGAAACGGACACCCTTGACCGCACATCCACCGCAGGCAGGTGGAGTCCCACATTCAACATCCAGGGTCCTGCATGGGCACGGCCTGGGGTGAGGGGTGGCCGGGAAGAAACCAGGACGCAAACGTGGCCATGAACACACAACCAAGAGAACCTAGGCTCCTTACATCCTACCTCCCTGTCTGCCAGCACTTGCGAGGAGCGACAAGGCCACCCACGACCCCCCTGATTCCGCTGGAGTTGTGGGGGGGCAGAGAGCGCTCACCTGGGGGCCCCCCGGTGGCGGACGGTGGTGGTGCTGCCGGCGAGGCCGCGGCCGGGCCCGGGTCGGATGGCGCAGGGGCTGCCCGGAGGGTGGCAGGTCCATGCGAGGAAGTGGACCAGCTGAGGGGCCGGGGGCCGCGGGGCTCGGAGAGCCGCGCGCGGACGACCCCGCCTGCGGCTCTGCATCTTCCCCTGGAGCCGCCAGCTCGGGCTCTGGCTTCGCTTCCTCAGCAGCACCTGAGGGGAGAGCACCAGAGCAGCACTGAGCGCCGAACCCGAGGAGGTGGTAGCAGAGGCGCTAGGGCGGCGGGGACCCGCCCAGGGCGTGGGGAGGGGCCCGGCTGCGCCGCCCCCCCCCGCTGCTGTCCGTGGTGCTGAGCGCGTTCCCGAGCAGCGCGCCGCCGTCAAGCATGCGCATCCTGGAGGAGGGGGTTAGACGGGGGTGGAGGCAGCGACTTGAGCTTGGTGACCTGGCTCTGGTCTGGCCAGGTCCCCTCCCATGCTGACCACAGCAGACCTCAGCTTTGCAGGCGGCATGAGGGGCCTGGCCCTGCCCAGCCTTTTGTCAGGAAGCACCAGGGAGAGGGCTGAATGAATGTGCCTGGCACCTCTGTCCCCAGATCAAAAGGTGCTTCAGTCTACCTGGGCAGACTCCCTTCCCTCAAGACCCCGCCTCACCCCGAGTGGTGGGAAGCAGGTGAAGGCAGTGGCTGGGATCCGGCCATTTCCGTAGGGTACTGGCATCCTGGGGGGAGGAGGGTGTGTGAAACTCAGCAAGGATTCAGGGAGCATAGCCCAGGAAGAGGGGCTCCTCCTCCCACACTCCAGAGGAAGGAGGGCACTCACCTCTTCCTCCACCTCCTCATCATTATCAGGGAAGAAAAGATCATTCAACTCCCTGGGCCCAAAGGGGCTGGGCACATCTCCATCCAGTGCCGGCAGGGCAGGGGCCATGACCACTGGGGCAGTCTGAGCCAGACTCTCCATCTGCAGGATCCAGCAGTCCAGGGATGGAGCAGATGGGGCTTCAGCCACACGATCCCATCATGCTAAGCCCCCAACCTCCTGAAATAGCCCTGGTATACATGACCCGAGAAGACCTTGCAAGGTAGACGTCCAGGCCACCCTGCGTGTGTGCATGTGTGTGCGTGTGCAGGCAGAGGTGTGCCCAGTACCCCTCACCAGCCGATCCCGGGCAGCACTCAGACCCGCCACAGCCTGAGCCACAATGCTCTCTGCCAAGGTCCTCGTGACAGACAGCCGCATGTCCCTGAGAACAGGAGAGGGTGGGGATTAGAAGGCTGGCCCTGCCCTGCCCCAGGCACCCCACCTGACCCACCCAGCTTACCTGAGCCTGGTGAAGGCGTCCTGCAGCAGCTGCTCCGGGAGCAGCTCCGGGAGGCCCCGGGATCCCACCAGGATGCCCTCGAGCTGCTCCTTCCAGCCAGGTGCCTGCAGCATCTGCAGGCAGAGGCTCCTCGTTGTGTCCAACGTGGCCTGTGTGAAGTCCTGGGCACAAAGGTGACAGTGCACCCAGACCGCTAGGTTTGAGGGTCCAGCCTTCCCCAATCCCCTTCCTCCCCAAACATGGACTTAGCAGGCCACAGCTGGGGTCTGGCACAGGAGCCGCGGCTCACCTGGACGTCCTGGCGGCAGACCTCTCCCACCTGTCCCAGCAGGCCCTGCAGCTTCTGCCGGAGCTGCCAAGGATGGCTGGGGGAGCTCCCAGCCTCATAGAGAATGGGCAGGATCTGGGACCAAGAAGGAAGTGAGAACTGCAAGTGGATGCCCAGCCAGGGAGGGGCAGACCCTCAAGAAGGGGGGAGCAGGTGGGCACTCACACTCAGAGAGAAGTTGGCATTCTG